TAAATTTTTCGCGTAATCTTAATCAGTTTAATTCGATAAAATTATATCTAGATCGCAACAATGCTAATAGATGTCCATAATCATTTACCATCTGATTATAAAATTCATCTCAGGTTTGTCTTTTTTTCTTTCCAAATATTATAAATTTCCCTAATTAATAATAATTTTATCCCACTAAAGGAATATGTTATATACTATGTGCGCATTAGCTCCACATCATACTTTTTTTGTACGAATGAAGCTGACTGATTTAAAAATTCTACCCGAATTTGCCTTGGAATTGACATTAACTGCTTGCGTGGACGTGGTAAGGACTTTAAGATCTGTTTTCATATTGAATTACTTTACAATTTATTATTTATTATTTGTTCATTTTTTTTTTTTTTCATCTTGCAAAGCCCTTATATTTGGCTGGAATATTGGCACGTGATGCCGAGTGGCTAAAACTCAACCAAGTTAAGGCCGATACAATCGCTACTTTGCAAAATAGGCTTATGACAATTTTGAAAAAGGAACTGGTACGCAATTACTCTCTCATAAAGAAACTTACATTATGATTGTCATTTAAACAATACTATGTATATGCATCCTTAGAAAGAACCAGTGATACCGCTTACAACTCGTCGAAATAGGCTTTGTGTTCTTCTTCGTAATATATGCGGTTTGAACTACTATTTTCAATCCTATCTGAGTCAAAATGATTTAGAGGCCTGTCTTCAGATATTAAGTCATGCCGAGTCCGACAGGTGAAATTATTATCTTCATTTCATATGGGCAATAATTAATTTTTCAAGCTTTCATTCTAAATATTATTTATTTTTTGTCACATATTTGGTTTAAAGACTCAGAAAACTATATCTCTGCTTCTTACTTCTGTTTTGGCAGAGGATCGTGTCAGATAGCAGGGTAAAAGATTATTACTAATAAAATTTTTCAGAGTATTTTAGGATTTAATTAATACAATTATTTCTTAATATTAAGATGCGTCCTACGTTTGCAAATGCATTTTCCAAGTTGGTAAATCCTGGGAATTCAGATTTGTATTTGATTTTTGCATATTTGTTTAACACAAATCAGTTTGAGCAAATACAAGAAATTTGCCGCGAAACATTAACATTAGATGTAATGATTGGTAACTTTTAAATTGTTAGTTTTGATAATATATGCTAAATTTCATATTTAATTATATATATTTAAATGGCATATTGATTTTTCAGCTCCATTAGAAAATGAATCAGAAGCCTTTATAAGAGCCCAATTTAAAGAAGACATATTAGCAAGATGCGCGTTGGATATTGAACCGACAACTTCATTTACTGGATTAGGGGTATTGATATTTACTTTGCAAATTTTAATTACAATAACTTCGTTTAAACTAATCTGCTATTTACTTACCTAGTTATCTAAGGTATCGCAAGATATTGCATTTGAGGTTTTCTATGTTATGCTGACTGGAGGTGTATTTCACAAAGGCCGTGTTGATATTCAATCTTGGATATTGAGACAAATTTTACAAGCAGAAATCCCGATACATGCCAAAATTGGGTCTTTATTGAAAGCATATGTTCGCAGGTTAATAAATATTTCTAACATTTTGGTAGAGAAAGGGTAGAAATCAGCTGATTTTTTAGAGTCATGCCTAATTTTTTAATAATCAAGTGGGATAAAAACTTTATACAAGTCACTCTCATTATAGTGAAGTTGATCGGGCTAAGAAAAAAAAAACTTCGCTATAGCTTATATCGAGAGAATACTATATAAACTTTATTATATCGAGCGAAGAGTTAACAATAATGACAATAAATTTAAAAGAAATTATTCACTATTATCGAGAGTTCACTATAACGTGAATGACTGGAATCCCCTGATTTCTGCCCATTCTCCTTTATTCATCGTTAATAGTTCATACATAATAAGAATTTTTTCTCTTATACAAGTATCTTCGAGGACCATGTGTATCGGTCCCCAATGACTAAGATACCAGAGGACAAAATATTTAATTTTTTCCAAGAAAGTTATATAAAAGTTACGCCAGCTCATGTTCTTATGACATATTATGTATTGACTTTAAATGATGTTGCTAAAGAGAAGAAGTTGAATTATGTTCAGAATTCTGATCAACAAAAAACAGGTAATTAGTCGGTATTATTACTAGAGATGGGTACGGTTCAACGAACCGCGACTCGAGCCGACTCAACTTGCTCATATATTTCGAATCTAATCAATTTAATTAGAATCGAAAAATTCCGCGAATAAAATTAATGAACCTAAATGCCTAAATTATAAGGTTCAGTAGGAAGTTCCTGAATATAGTTATAAGTTGACTCGAATCGAGTCGTGCCCATCTCTAACATGACATAGTTTCTTTGTTTTATTTAGGCTTTTATGAATTGCAAAGTTTAATCATCACTAGCTTACTCGTACAAGTTGACTGAATTAATTCCTGCAAGAAGGATTTTATTTGAGGCAGGAAAATGCAATAATGGCTATGCTTATCGCAATATTTATCCTGAACTCCTTGGCCTTATGGCTAGTAACTATCCGGAGATATTCGACATTGAAAGTTTTCTCATTGAGGAAGATCGTGAAACGTATATATTTTTAATTTTTTTACATTGAATTATTGACGCCATATTTTAAGTTTTGCGATTAAACATAATTATTCATATACTTATTTATTTGCAGTGGTATTCCACTTAACAATATTGAAAATGTTGTAATGACATTAATAACCGAATTAGACGATTCAACAGAAAACGTCTTAGGTAAAGTTTGGATATATAAACTTGTATTTTATTATGGACATAATTCAATGTTTAACTTTTAAAAAAACTATATTTACAGCTTTAAAAAAATTAGAAGCAATTGCACCTGAATATTTACTTATACAGTCCGATTCTCTCATTCTGCATCTATTACCCAAATTATTAAAACAATTGTACGTTATAAATCAACTTAGTATAAGTTTAGGATTCAACTACTTATTGATTGCAAAAAAATTTTATTTTTATCTATAGACAAAATTCTGAAATGCTGAATTCAATACTTGAAATCTGGCATTTATTATACTCTATCCACCCTCACAAAGCTGCGTTATTATTCATAAACGCTGTACGAAGCGAAGAAGACAGAGATGCATGGTGATTTTTTAATGCTTTATTACGGTACTAGGATGAGCACGGTTCACTTAGTGACTCGACTCGAGTCGAATGGATTAAGTCCCAAATGAAATATCGACAACTTGCTCAGGGTAAAAACTAAAGGTGGTCCCGAAACCAAACCAAACTCTTTAGGTTTTGTCTATAGTATTAGTTAATTTGAATTTACCTAAATCTTAAACCCAAAACAATGCCGAAAGTCAACTAAATCAATATATGTGTTGTGCCTCAAATATAAATTTGTCCCGATTTTCAATTTGGATAACCCAGATGTCAATTTGCTAAATTTTACCTAAATACCTAGCTAAAATTAATTTATTTAGGTTGATAATTTAGGCCAATTGACATCTGGGACAAATTTACATTTGGGCACGACATATGCAAAATTGTTAGATGGTTGGGATTTAACGAAGTTTAGGTTTCGGGAATTATTGGTGAGAGTCAGTTTGTGACTTCGATATAAATTGAAATTTGCAGCTGTTTTCAATAAATTCAGAGAAAATTGCTCTTTCCCGAAATTTCTTCGATCTTGTTCTAAGAACAACCAATTTTTCAGAGGCTCCAGAGACAGCAACATAGTTTCCGAAATGTTAGGTAATCCTTAGGACGGGATCTAGGAGATTTCAGGAAAGAGCAATTTTTCTTAGGTGTCTCAGAATTTATGAAAACAACTGTAAGCATCGAAATCTCTGCTCAAGAAAATAAGTTTCGACATTCACCTCTAGTAAAAACCATGTCGATTCGATTCGATGCGACTCGAATTATGCTCATCTCTACTAATGATTTTATAATTGTAAATGATATTTATCTGTTTGATTTTTTACTATAAAGCTTCGTAGAGCGAGATGTCATGCTTGATCCGCTTGTTATGTTTCGTTGTGATAGTCAAGTGTTTCGATGCCCACAAATATTTCAGATATTTTTAAAGGTATTTAAGGGATATTAAATGTATTCGTAATTTTAAATTTGATCATATTATAATTTTAGCATTTCACGTCAGGTCTTGAAATTTTACATGGTTGGTTCACGTCTTAGACTACGACGCGCATGGCAGGATGAACTTACTAATAAGGCAATTTTATTGTTTACTATTGTATATTTTGAAATTTCTATGAAATTGATATATAGATAATAATTAGAATTAACACAATTATCTGTAACAATTTTATTTATGCAGGAAGCCTTTCCTTTGAATAAGCTTAATTATATGATTAGTAGTCAGGAGACTCTTTTATTGTCACTTTTAATGAAAGAATGTGAAACAAAACCATCAGACTCTCAAAATCCTGGTAAGTACTTACGCCTCATAATTTTATAATTGATTTTTTACTTGTGCTGACGTAAATATATACACGTATAGATATATTGGACCCAATTCGAAATGCCGCCTTTCGTTTTCTCCATCACATGTTTATTGAAAACATGGAATCATTAAGAAGTTTACATTTTTTGGGTTATGCGACCGATTTGATTCCTTTAACGACTCGCAAAATTGAGTCCATGCGTATGTTCTTTATGTTACTCATTGTTCGATTGGTTTAAACGAATTTTAATTCAAATGTATTATATATGCAATACTTAGATTTATGTGTATTTTGGGCGCATGAATTAATATTGCACGAAGATCCAAAAAAGCAATTGTTCGGCTTGTGTTTAGCAGGTCAATTATGCGAAGTTTGGCCAATGCCTTCAACGTAAGATGAATTTTGGTTTTAATATTTTTACATACACTCTTTATTTGCTAAATTTTCGAAATATTTAAAATATTACGTAACTTTTAGGTTTAACCTTGCCAAACACTACATTATCCCAACAATCAGGCGTAAAACTCTTGAAACACCCGAAAACGTTTTATCTGAAGAGGGTAAAACCATTTTGCCTATCTTGGTTCTATTATATAATGTATTTAATAATCTGAAAGAAGAAATTTTGACATTGTTGCGAGGTAATATTTAAAATATTGCTCATGAATTTCGTAAAATATTGCTCATGAATTTCATAATTTTTATTAGCGCTTGAGAACAAATTCAGTTCATCAAGAGGTTATGCAACTACTTTCGGTGCAAAACGTAAATCACAAATAGTCGTTTCCTACTTATTGACGTCTATTGGCAAAATTCCAAAGAGTACAAAGATGGATCGTGTTAGAGAAATTTTACCGGTGACATTAGATTGAACCTGTCATAAATTTGATCCAGTTATCCAATTTATAACTTAAATTAGGTGCGCTTGTGCGAAGTACTCGATGTTTAAAATAAACTAGTTCTTACTCTAAATATATGAACTACATATATATACAGTAATAGCCTTTTCTCAAAGTTACTATTCAATAGGTCAATATAGAATAGATAATACATACTATTCTTCTTGATCTAATCTTTTTACATAATACTTAAAATTAAAGATAATTAGATTTACTAGAAATAATGTGTTTAATAACCAAACTTGCTTGTTTATCTTTAGCAAAATATAAACTTTGAACTTGTTATTAAAGATTAAAAACTTTATAAAAGTCAAATTAAAAGAGCATATCACTTCTGTAATAAAATCAAAATTTTATTATAGTTTTTAGAAAATATTAAAAAAATATCAGCAATTCTAACTTTATTTATTTTATACTTAAATGAGTTATTAAAATTTAAGATGTTATCGATACTTTTATTAAGTTATATTCTTATTTAAAAAATAAATATTTAGAGCCAAATAATTAATAAATATTTAAAAATATATTAGAATTTCTTTTATTTTTTTTATAAAACAATATTATTACTATCATATTAAATATCTTATTGTTTTTATAGATTTTACTATTCATGTTTCTTTTTTTAAGGAAGTATTTCAACTTGCCTTAGCTAAATTTGATAAGCATGTTAATAATAATTCTGCAATTTCAATTTTTAATGCTACTAGATGTTTTGATCTATGCTTTATTCAATTACAACTACATCATCACAATATGTTACTCAATAAAGATATAGGAGAATTTAAAAATCTTACAAATGAATTAATTACAGAATGATAAATTTATTGTGGTTTGAATGAATGTTTGAAGAAAATTTTGATTTGGATAATTATTGGCAAGAAAAATTCAAAAATTTACTAAATTTATCTAAATTAGTATTAATTTATATTTGGTTACCTATTTCAGGTATAGATGTAGAGTGTAGTTTCTCTACATATAATAGAATTTTAGTGGATAACTGACAAAATTTGTCTGAAAATTCAATTAGCATGTTGAATTTTTTAAATTTCAATAAATAAATAAAGGGTTTTAAAATATAATATACATGTACTGCAGTGCATCCTTTAATTTAGCTAATCAAATTTGTAAATCATTTGTATAATGTGAAGATCTTGTATAACAAAAACAAATATTTTTTCTTTAAATTTTTTAAAAAAACTTTAATATCTCAAAATTTTACCTATGAAACTGCCTTTGAGATTCTAATTAAAAAAATTCTTTGCTAAAATTTGTATATATTATTACTTAGATAAAATCTTAGGCCTTGCTCTAACCCTAAAGTAAATCAAAATTATTTTTTGTTTTATATATAAATTTTGTAAATCAATTATAAAGATATACTGCAACTATTGAGTTGTTAGTTAATAATAAAACAATTAGTAATTAGTTAATAATAGTTAATAATAATTAGTAATTTTGGTAATTGTTAAAAATGAGTATACAAATATTTTAATAACTATATATATATATAATTGTTTAGATCAAAACCTTAGCAAACCATTTTGACAAATAATCCTAAAAAACAAATTCCTAGAAAAAATTAATCAAATACTAACCTAATATGTCAAAATTCTATTTCTTGAGATTTTAATAGTTTTTGTTTTAATTGTTAACAAAAAAATAATAAAATATTAGTAAATATAATATTAGGTTTGAAAATTTCTTGTGTTTAAATATTGCCTCAATATAAATTTGAAAGAAAAAAAACTCTGATTTGGCAATAGTTTAATAAAAGTGAAATGCTAAACAGTTTACACTATTTAGCATAATATAATTTTTGCAAACAAAACTATCCTGGTGAACCTTCAAAAATAACTAAACATATATTAGTAATATGTAAAGAAATTCATCAAAATAGCATGATAATATTGAAAATATTTTAAAAAATAATAATAATAATAAAATTACAAACTTGCAAAAAAACAATTCATTACCTCAAGTTGATAATCATAATGTTAATACAAATACAAACATTATACTAATAATTGAAAATATTTTTGTTTTGTCTATTAGGAAAAAGGCTTTTTTTAATCATCAATTACTTAAAGCGTTAATTTTAGCAAATGTACTACTCATTTGTAGAAGATCTTGAAGTAATTAAATTATTTCATATGTTATGACTTGAATATAAACTTCTATCATGTAAATGGCTAAATACAGATATTTTAGACAAAATATACAAAAATATTCAATTTAGCATTCAATATTTTATATTAGATTCTATATTTTTAACACTATCTGATGATAGATAAACCAATATTTCAAAAGATAGTATGTTAAATTTTATTATAACAAATGAAAAGCATGAAAGTCAAATCTTAAAAATAGATAATTACTCTAATTAGTATTATACAGGTGATAATATATTTATTATATATAAAGAAATTAGAATAAGTTTTAGATTAAATAAGTAGATTGCATTTATTTTAGATAGTGGACCAGATTTTAAAAAAGCATAACATCTTATGTGACAGGTAAATATTTTAATTATATAGTATAAGTTTTTATATTATATATATTAATATTAATATTATATTTAGAATTATGATATAGGTGATAAAGTTTTACAATTCTATGTATGGTATATCAAACTATTTTATTAGTTAAAAAGATAGTTGAATCTGCATTTTTTACACTAGTTATTAAAAAAATACTAGTTATTATTAATTATTTTCAAAATTTCAATCTTGCATTGTCTAAATTAAGAGAATTAGCTAGCAATACAAGATTAAAACCTCAATATTCATGCATTATTCATTGGACAACATTTACAAAATCAGCTGAAACTATTTTAAAAATTAAAACAAATTTAAAAATATATATATATATTGATACCTATATCAATAATATATAATATTAACTTATATATATCTAATCTATATTTATTTTTTAAATTATTGTACTTATACATATATCCTATTTAATATCACATTCACAAGGAAGTAATATTATAATTGATATTATTAATAATAATCAATTTTGGGAAAAACTTGAATTGTTTACAAGTTATTAAAACTATATGATTATATTATTAAAATTCTTAAAACAGAAAAAGCAATATTAGATCAAGTAGCTGCATTATGAGTATAACTTTATAGAATTATTAATAAGAGTTTACTTATTAATAATAATTTTAAAGAATCTTTAATAATAGAAATTGATAATCATTGGCAAAAAATTTATAATCTAGTTTTTTTAATTACCTGGTTTCTTCATCCATACTATCATAGTGAAGGATTAAATCCAACATGGCTTTTATATATTCAAGAAGCTGCATATAGTTTTTTTTGTACTTTTTATTCAGATCCTAATCAAGATCAATTTATTGATGAATAGTTGAATTATTCAAATCAAGAAAGAACATTTTTAGCATCATCTATTAAAAATCTAAGTTTTACCAAATTTCCACTAAGATATTAGCATACTATGCTAAGTACAACCTGAATTTAAGTGAATTTGCATGTTATCTTTTGTCAATTCTATCTAATTCTGCAACTTCTAAATAGGTATAGTCTTTATTAGGTAATATTAAGGATGACAAAAGTTTTTTATTACATATAGTCTTTTTTCTGATAAGTGTACTTATAAAGAGCTGACTGTAATTAAAACAGGTTATAATTATAATATTAACTATATCAATATTTAAATTCAAATTTAACTATCACTATTTAGACTTAATAATTACCTAGTTTAAATCGATAAAAAATATTTAACATTTTTTTTTTGCCATCCTTAGGTAATATACATACAGAACATCGTAACAGGTTATCACCAATACAGGCTGCAAAAATAGCACAGGTCTCTTGGTATATAAGTCAAACCTCAAAAATTCAAAAAATAATAACAAAAAATTCCAGCTTTCTGAAAATGACATAGAGAGTAATATTTCAGATACTGATGATGATGACTATATTAATAGTAGTGATGATATAGACGAATTTATGGTAAATTTAAATCAGATTTCTGAAAAATTAATAGATGATATTTATGTACTTGATGTAAATAGTGAGGAAACTATTCCAACACTTATAGATATATTTGATTCAAAAGCTGTTGAAAAATCGTTAAATTATTATATTAATCAATCATATGTATAAATTTAGAGCTACTTTAAATGTTATTGAAAAAAATAATAATAAATAAAGTTCTATCTTATCAAGTTATACTCAAAAGGTATGCTTTATTAATGAAAAAAAAAAACTTTAGTAAATAATTTATATAATTACTGTTCTATTAATATACATATATTCACACTTCGGACAACAGTTTGAAGGAATTTGATTTGGGTCAGTAAATTCTAAAAATTAAACAGGTCTGTAAAAAGATTTAAATTCGTTATCATTATCGTTATGTTCAAATGCTAATTATCAACCCTAGTCGTTTAATATATTAATCTCATTTACAGGTTTGATCATAAGTCTAGTAATTA